AGGACGCGATTCGGGCAGACTTCGATAAAATGCATTACGCCGTGAAGGGACGGTATCACGCGCTCACCTCTTGTTCAACACCTCGATTCACGACAACCGACAGATCTCGTCAATAGAGAAGTATCAATATCTGCTGGCCTCGCTAAAGGGGGAGGCGCTCAATGTAATCAAGAATTTGCCCCTCGCCGCGGAGTATTACATAATTGCATACGACGCGCTGCTCGACAGGTATCGGAACAGAAGGAGGCTAGCGGACCACCACCTAAGGTCGATACGCGAAGCCAAACCGTTAAAGATAGAATCGGCCGATGCCCTCCATAAATTATTAGATACGTTCACCGAAAACACTCGCGCGCTAAACCTGATGAAATTCCCTACCGATTCGTGGGATTTCCTTTTGCTCAATTTCCTGCTCGAAAAGCTTCCCCGATCATTGCGGGAAAAGTTCGAATCTGTCCATCGGGCCGAAGAGATACCGCGATACGCTCAACTCATCAAGTTTCTTTCCGAGCACTGTAAAGTACTTGAGGCCATCTCGGGTCCGTCGACCATGCCGTTCAAATCACAATCGTCCGCGTCGGCTTCGTCGCTTGCAACTCGAACTGCCGAGTGTCCGGCGTGCAAGGAACAACATCTCGTGTTCAAGTGCCCTCGATTCTTGAAACTATCCCCCCGGGAAAGGCATTCAACGGCCAAAACCGCAAATTTGTGCTTCAATTGCCTTCGCGCGGGTCATGGCGCTAACAACTGCACCTCGACGGGGACGTGCCGGTCGTGCCAGGCTAGGCATCATACCCTATTGCATTTCGGACGGAGTTCGGGTCCAGTGGGCACCCCGGCGGATACCGGAGCCCCCTCTGAAACGGCCGCCGAGGAGAGTTCGTCGCCACAACATAACGAGCCCCTCGTCACCATGACCAGCGTCGCGAAATCGAGTTCAACCGTATTACTGTCAACGGTACAGGCCGAAGCTCTCGACGTCCACGGGAATCCATTCCCTGTTCGCATGCTATTAGATAGTGCTAGCCAATTAAACTTTATCTCGGAAAATTGCATGCAAAGGGGTGGCTTCGGACGAACCAAAGGTCGCACGGTGGTTCTAGCGGTTAATGATACTAAGGCGGCTGCCACTCGAGGCAGTACCTCACTCATGATTCAAGTACAGGGTAACGGCAACACTCGCGTTCCGATAGAGGCTACGATTCTCCCACGCATCTCCGCACAATTACCTAGTAGTCAAGTCGAACAAAGAGCGTGGAAACACATAGAGGGATTGAAACTTGCGGATCCGCGGTATCACCGACCGGGTCCCATCGATATCTTAATCGGCGCAGAGATTTTTACGTCATTGCTTCGAGACGGTCGTCGCGTAGGGAAGAAGGGCGAACCAGACGCCTTTAATTCCATTTTCGGATGGGTTCTAGTCGGTTCGGTATCGACGCAGGCATCTCGGTCTACACACTCGTTCCTGACTCTCGATTCATTAGACGCGTCTCTCAATCGATTTTGGCAGTTAGACGAGATTCCCTCGGCTCCGCCGTATTCACAGGAAGATAGACGTTGCGAGGAATTATTTGCGCAGACCACGCGTCGCGATGTATCTGGTCGATTTGTAGTATCGTATCCTTTCATAAAGGATAAACCTTGTTTCGTTGGCACGCGTCAAGTAGCCGTGAATAGATTTCGCGCACTTGAGCGTCGCTTCAAAGCGGATAAAGAATTCAAAGCAAATTACAGCAAATTCATGCAGGATTACTTAGCTAATGGCTATATGAAATTGATCAAGCAGCCGTTCCCAGTGGACGGACCTGTCTTTTACCTACCCCATCATGGGGTACTCAAGTCGGATAGCACGACTACGAAATTGCGCGTCGTATTTGATGGATCGGCTAAGGATCTGAACGGCGTCTCGCTGAATCAAATGTTGCGATCCGGTCCCAAATTACAATCAGACATAGTTGTGATATTATTGATGTTTCGGCTTGGTCTCGTGGCGCTCACCGCGGATGTCAGACAGATGTTCCTTCAGATATTGGTCGAACTCGGTCAATGTGACTATCAGCGAATAGTGTGGCGTTTCTCGGAAAACGATCCGATCTCGGACTACCTTTTGTTGACTGTCATTTTCGGATTGACATGCTCTCCGTTCATAGCGATTGCTTGCATGTTAAAGTTAGCAGCCGAAGGCAAAACGAGATACCCATTGGCCGCAGCTGCCTTGGAAGAGAGCGTCTACGTCGACGATGTGGTGACGAGTGTCGAGTCCGTGGAGAAGGCCCGCGAGCTTCAGCGGCAACTACAAGCCTTGCTTAAAACTGCCGGCTTCGAACTCAGAAAATGGGCCAGTAGCCATCCGTCGGTCTTGGCGGATCTGGATCCGGAACTCCGCAGCCAATCGTTACTATCCTTTGAATCGCCGGAAGACCAGTTTCTTAAAGTCCTTGGACTTCGTTGGTACCTTCAAACGGACGACTTTGGATTTCAGGTCAACCCGTTGGACAGAGATTGCACCAAACGCACCATTCTCTCTGAATTAGCTCGCATCTTTGATCCATTGGGGTTCCTGACCCCGTTTACATTCATGGCCAAACGATTGATCCAGCAACTCTGGATGCTTAAAGTAGAGTGGGACGACAGGCCCCCCTCAGAGATATGTTCTAAATGGGAAAGATACAAGTCGGAGCTCTCCGCGTTAGCCTCCATTCGTATACCTCGTACTATCGCGGTCGTAAATAAGGTATTCAGGCGAGAAATCCACGGATTTTGTGACGCGAGCGAGCAGGGCTACGGAGCCGTTGTATATATTAGACTCGTCACCGAGAATGGGGTGACAATCCGAATGCTCATCGCCAAATCAAAGGTGGCCCCACTCAAGGCCATCACATTACCGAGACTCGAACTTTCCGCGGCTGTCTTGCTGTCAGATTTGTTGGAATATGTCGAGAAAATTCTCCGACCTAAAATTGCCGTCGACGACACATACGCCTGGTCGGATTCTGAGGTTACCCTCGCGTGGATACGCTCGGCTCCGCACCGTTGGAAGACGTTCGTGCGTAATCGTGTCGCACGCATCCAGTCTAACACAAACATTTCCTGCTGGAAACATGTCGATACCAAATCTAACCCCGCGGATTGTTGCTCAAGGGGCTTATTCCCCCAGGAACTAGTCGATCACCCGCTGTGGTGGACCGGTCCTGCGTGGCTCGTCGAATTTGAACCTACTCAAGAAACGACATTGGAAGCTGAGGATCTTCCCGAGGAGGAAGAAAATTCTCGCGCCTTTGTTTCCACAAATCCTGCGGATGACGTAGATTCCATTACTGTTGCCGATTCGCTTCTCGATCGCTTCTCGTCGTTAGACAAACTCGTCAGAGTGTTCGCGTATTGCCTCCGATTCGCTACCAAAACTAGATCAAACGCGCTCACTCTCGTCGTGGATCAAATCGAATTTCACTCGACCTTGTTATACCTTGTCAAATCTGTACAATCTCGTTGTTTCGCAGAGGATATCGGTAGCTTAAGACGCAGTCAGAGCTGCTCCAAACCTCTGCGAAAACTTGCCCCCTTCTTGGATGGTCGCGGAGTCCTCAGGGTGGGCGGCAGGCTCACCCATTCCGCCATCTCATACGAGGCTAAGCACCCGGCATTGCTGCCTAATCGACATCGACTCACGGAATTTATAGTAGAGCGCACCCACCGCCTACACCTGCATCCGGGACGTCGATCGTTGCATTATATCCTGTCACAAAACTTCTGGATTCTGGGGGCCCATCAGGCCATTAAACGCTGCCTATCGCGCTGTTATCGGTGCTTCAGGGCGAATCCACGCCCGATGCAACCGCCCATGGCGGACCTACCGTTAGACCGAGTACGTCAGGCTAAGCCTTTTTCGATAACCGGAGTCGACTACGCTGGGCTATTTCCAGTCTACAATCGTCGTTCCCGCGGAGCGACTCCGTTCAAGG